AGGGAGAAGGAGAGGGAGAAGCAGACTCCCCTGCTGATCAGGGAGCCCAATGCTGGGCTTGATCCCAGGACTTCAGGATCATGACCTGAGCCAAAGGCAGACGCTAAACCAACTAGCCACCCAGGCACCCCCTGGAAAAAAAACATTTAAAAGAATAGGATGATCCAGGAGGAGTTAAACTGGGCATACTAGTATGTTTGTTTATTTTTAACCTGTTTGCCATACCACCGTTTTCCTAAAAATGTTACAGAAAAGGTAGGTAAATGATTTTCCCCCCACTGTCAAAAGACCATCAGCTGTTTGAGAAGACTCTCCTAGATTTTATTGTTATAATCATTTTTCTATTTCCAGTTAGCAGCACGCTTCCCTTAGTATGATATGTTCTGCATAAACCACTGTTTTTCTCTTCAGCAGATTTCCTAAGGCTACCTTGGAATTTACCAGCGTTTTCCTCCTTTTTAAGGGTGGAAATTTTCTCTTTCAGAGGGAGATACATTTCTACATTAGTGCCTATTCATTTCCTTTTCATTTTCTCAGGGAAAAACAATCAGGTTCATCACTGCTGTAGTCATGGAGATTTCATGTCTCCAGAAGAAATCCAACTGTGGAATTTCTTTGTTAATCCCACCCTGGACGTTTAAGCTTTTGTGTTTGGATCAGTGCAGCCCAGGCAGGGGAGAGACCGAAACAGGTTACAACACGACTCTTTAACCCAAGGCGGGCAGGGGAAGTGTGTGCAGCAAGGGCTGTCCCGGGATGCTGGGGGCAGGGGCGTAGCAGGGGCTCAGGCCGTGGTTGGTGACTGGACAGGTGAAAACCTTAGGCTGGAACCACCTGCGAGACGCTTGCATCCCACAGTGCAGTGAACTCAGTACAGCCACATCTTCCTTGCAGATCTGTCCTCCCATGCGTTGCCCCTCAACAGCACCGCTTTCTACAGTCTTGACTTCCATTCTGGTAAAACCTGCCTCCTGGTGCATCCTCCTTTCTTCCTCTCCTTCAGGCCTTCAGATCTCCCCACTGGCTCCCCACTGGCTGCAGTCTCCTAAGTAACCATCTCTCCTGCCACTGGCCAGTGTCCTGCCTCTCCATTGCTGCTAGAACAGTGAGGGCACAGGGCAGGTCTCAAGCAAATTTTGGCTGAACGGCTGAGAGACCCAAAAGTCTTCCAAACAGGCAAATCTGATCATGTTACTTCTCTGTTTAAAAACCTTCAGTGGTTCCCAGTGGTTTTAGGATAAAATCCAAACTCTTAGGTCATTCAAGGCTCTTCACATCCTTGCCACCGTCATCATGCATCACTCACCATTCTCATCCCGTCGCTTGGCCATCCCACGTGAACAACTAACAATTTTCTGGGTGATGCATGTGTTACGTATGGCGGTTGCAAATGATTTCCAGCTCTGGAGTCAGACTGAGTGTGGTCATGTTCCAGCTCCACCACAGAGCTCTACGACCTGGAGGGAGGTCACATAAACTCTCTTTGCCTCAGTTTCTTCATCTGCAAAATGGGACTAATAGGATCATCTGGTAAGGTTGGTGTGAGCATTAAACGCGTGCATACGTGTCAAGCCCTTAAATCCGTCTCTGGCACATACAAACATTCCATTATCGTTACCCTGGGAGTTCAGCGAACTTGCTGACTTTATCATGTGCTGCCTCCTTCTGCCTGGGATGCCCCCTCCACCTTGGCCTGACAGATCCGAGCCATCCTGGGACTCTCAGTCCCAATATCCTGGCCTCTCTGAAACGAACATCTGTAGCCAAGGAGTGTTAAAAGCTTAAGTTGTGGCATTATATCCTGGTTCTACTACTCACTATTTTACTCTAGTTTAAACTTGCTAAGCTGTGGTTTCCTCCTTTGTGAAACTCAGATAAGAAAATAATCGCCTCTACCTTATTAAGAGTTGTCAGGGAAAAATATAAAGACATACCTAGCATATACTAAATCCTTCATTCACGTTAGATATTACTTTTATTAGCAGCCTTTCTGCCTTTTATCAAGAACTAGCCACAGTATCATTGTACTCTGTTTCCTTGTTTCTCTGGATGGGTGATTTGAGTTCAGAGACAGAGAACTTACGCACCACTGCTTCTCAGGCACTTGACACATCATTTGGGCCATGGAACTTTGGAACTGACCAGAATTCAGGGCTTTATCTATACATGTAACCATCTGTAACCATTTCTGTAATTTGCTCTAAGAGATTTCAGAGGACCAGAGAAGATGTTAGGAAGGAAGGGTGTTTGAGGTCTAACTCTTCTTTCTTTGGGAGGTCCTAAAGACTGCAGATTAAATGGTCCTACACCATTTCATTTGGCCCAAAGGTGCATGGGAATGATGGGCTGGCACTTCACTCCCAAGACATGACATGTGCTTTATCAGTAGGATTGAATACCTCATACTGGTCCTTAAACAGGGTTGTGCCAATACATACTAAATACCTGGTTATCCAAGAATGATACAAAGCCCGGATTTGTGGTGTTTGCTGATCACCGCAGTGTAAATACTCCCTCCAAGGTTACTCTCAAGCCAGCACTGTGGTGTTAACCAAGTCGCAAGATCCCTGAAGATGGACCAATCAGCCAGTCATGAGCTGGCTCCAGCACAATACAATGTAAACTTCAGTTTTTCTATCTGTAAAATATGAGTCCTCTGAAGTTACCACCCTATCTCCGAAGTAGAAACGTCAGAGGGTCGAATGTGAAAAAAACAGGCAAATGTTAGTGTTTTGGCAATGCTGCACATGATCATCATTATCTTGAAACTCTTTCTGTCCACTGGCCATGTGCATCTTAGGATCTATGCTGACAATCTTCTCTCACAAGCCAGCCTATCTGATCTTCTGCTCAGAGCAGTGTATCTGGTTTTATCCTCCCAATCAGGGTTATACTCTCTGCAGCAGACTGACTCAATTAGCCTTTCATTCCAGAGTCCAATTGTGAGTCAATTTTGAGGTTGTTAAGCGAAATGAGTCTGGTGGCATTAGCCTCGCACTGAAGGATAGTAATCCGCATCACGGTGCCGTTCAGTTAATAGTCTGCTTGAGAAACTATAAGAAACAGGGACTTGGAGACAAAACAACCTTTTGTCCATCTCTGGGGGACAGGCTGGGAGCGCAGAGCTGCCAGGTCAGAGAGCTGCTCAGGGTGTGGGCAGAACTGGAACCCCAGCTGCCTGAACCACAATTGGCCTTTGCAAAGTTAGAAGCCCACCAGCACTAGATCATTAACTTTCATGACCAGGAAAAGTCTTCTGAAATTAACACTCAGTCCAAGCTGGATGCCATTGGAGCCGGCTGAGTAAGCCTGAGCCACCTTTAGGGATTTCCTTGGAAAAATAAATCCTCTAACCAGGCTATAGAAAATGGCCAGGTTTTATGCCCTTCAGTGTGTTCAGTTAGAGTCCGAAAACACCAACTAGGCTTAGACGGTGGGAGATCCAGGACACGCAGACAGGCGCACGCACAAGTCTCATTTGGAGGATTTTGCCAAGCCACTTAGCTTCAGCACATGGCCCTGCTTGGGAAGCGGGATGAAGGGTCCTCTCTGAGAACTGTCAGGTGCAAAGAAAATAAAGCTTTGCTCCAGCATCTGCCCTGGGGATTGACAGTGATGGAACCAGGCTCCCATAGACAGAGGGCCCAGATGGGCGCAGCTAGGGAGGCTCAGATACCCCTGCTTAAAAGGGTTCAAGGAGAGACCAGTCCCTCACAAACACCCTGCAGCCTTTGCAATGTGCTATGAATTTAGATGATTTCATTGGGCCTTTTAACTTCCCGATAGTTACAGTTGTAGTAAAGGGACAGATAATGAGCTTCCTGCAGACCTTTTACCTCCGTGATCTCTGCACACGCTCCCTTGTTCCGCCCCGCTGCCACGCGAGCTCGCATATAACCTAAGGTATGCTAAGTAAACACAGTTTTTTGGGTGGAAGGAAGTAAAAACAGCACTATGTATGTTGGCTGCCAATTTGGGTAAGCTGAAGAGAAAAAAGCTGAGACAGCCGTCCATTGTCTCCCATAATTGCCGGATAATTTAAATTCTCTTGAAGTCCATTGTGTTCTTTGCTTAGAAGCAGAGCTGTTGTCTGCTGAGATGACCTCTGGTGGCCCTGCTCTCATTCAGGATTTCTCCAACAATATCCTCTTCAGACTGAAAAACAGCCAGTTGGCCACAAAGAGCCCTCTGCCTTCCCAGACCAGCATGTCTGTGGCCCCCTCCCCACCTCTGGGGCTCTGCAATTTCACCACCACTCAGGGCTTCCCAGTGGACTGTGCAGGCCCCTGGGCAGTTTCCAAACTGCAGACAGATACAGCACATGGTCAGTGGCCCCTCCAGGCACCACCTCCCCTGGAAGGCCCAGTCACATAGTGACTGCCTAGAAGGGGCATCACCTGTCCCTCCTGCTTTTCCCTTCGGTTCTGGAGTGGCGAGCTCCTCCTCACTTGGCTGGAATCAATCTGTGTCCCCTGGGCTGGTGAATGAGAGATAACTTACAAGACAAATACACGTATTTTTAAAGCCAGCAGGAATTACGGGAGCAGATGGGCTGTAGGATCCTATTTGGATGCCAGGGACATGTTTCTGTATAAAGTAAATATTTTCCCAGTGTGGCTCTCTGGTGAGTGTGTAGAGAAGCATATTTCCTAAAGATGCAAATAAGTCTGTCAGAAATAAATATTGAATGGAAACTTCAAAGCATCTAGATTTCTCCAGTTACAGGCCCTGAAGACTTCTCTGCAAATAAGCAGACACACAGGTGGGTAAAAGTCTGGGGGAAGGAGGGGACGGTTGTGTGGGGGCAGGTTGGATAAGAGGGGGTGCTAACATCCTCAAAGCGCACACTTTATATATATATATATATATATATATATTGTGTGTGTGTGTGTGTGTGTGCAGAAAAAGGAGTATCGACGAAGGAACAAAGAAAAGTTTACATTGGTCCAGAAGTTTAGGGTATTTCAAAACTCACCACTTGCCCTTTCTTTCCATTGCAGGTCTCGCCTTGCGGACTTTTTTACCAACTGCCAACCCGAGTCAAGGTCTTCCAGCAGCTGTCTAAAGGAAAACTATGCTGACTGCCTCCTCGCCTACTCAGGGCTTATTGGTAAGATCGGGGAGAAGCGGGACGGGAGGGAAGTGTGGTTTACAAAGACTCACAGACTCTTGCCATTGCAGCTTGCCAGTGTCTGTAAAAGGAAAAAATCGCCCAGTAACCCTCTGTGCTGGGGTTTTGATCCCCTGGGAAACCCGGGGTTCATGGCTGTGCAGAGGCAGAGGCAGGAAGCAGGGAGTAAGACAGTGCAGGTCTGAGCGCCTGAGAAGCATCCCCCCGGGGAGAACCGCCCACACAGAACAACAGGAGGAAACAAACAAACAACATGGCCGTGGAAGAGGGAAGCAAGTCCATCTGAGCTCATTGAATTAGGGCACTTGGGAGGCATTCCGTCTGGGGAAATAAAAAAGGCTGTTCCCCAGAAATGGGAATAAAACCCCTAACTACCGGGGTCCTTCTCACCATTAATATTGTTGGTAATTCAGCTCCTGGTGGGCAGGGGGTGATGGAGCCTAAAATGGTTCCCTGAAAATAGACCAGCAGAAACAGTGTTTTCTGCCTCTCAACACCTGAGGCTTTCCCAGAACCAGGTTCTTGGCATTCGGGGCGAGAGTGCAGTTAGGAGTCAGAAATTAGTACTCTACTTAGTACCAGTAGAGTGCGAGGAGTCAGAAATTTGTGTCCGAGGCTTAAAGGGGCAGGCAGGAAGAAAGGCAGGTGTTCCGGGTCCCAGGGCCTGAGGAAGCCTCAGTGGCAGGGCTCCGTCACAACTGACGTTTGAGGACAAACACGTAGTGAAGGCTGTGGAGGGGTGAGGGAAATCACACTTGTCAGAAGCGTGACAGCTCAGCCAGGGTGTGTGTTCCTGCCATGATCGCACAAGTCACCGGCGAGAAGAGCTTCCCACCAAGAATGACAGCACAGACCCACTTTTTTTTTTTTTTTTTGTCACCAGAGTGTCTTCAGCAAGAGATTTTGGGACAATCAACGATGGTGCTTAATGCGGGGATATTATAGGGGCCTGCACACTCATCCCAGCATTTTTGAAAGGATACCTGTGTTCTCTTGGGCAAGACCTTTCACCATGTTGTTTAGCATTTTTGCGGCTGTATCCCAATGGGTGTATCTTCCTTCAGTCAGTATTCCAAATTTGCATTCACTCTTTCCTTTTCTTAAGTAAGTTGGTCTCTGGTAAGAGTTACTTATCAACTATGGAATTATGAGCTTAAGAAACAATGGAAATAATTAAGCCATGCTCATTATAAAAAGTAAAAAAAAAATACAGAGAAACCCAAAGGAGACAGTAGGAAGGATCTACAACTCGAATCCCAGACGTAATCCCTATTAACACCTTAGTCCATATCCTTCCAGGCATATGTGTTCATTAACTCCTCCATGAGGGGCCAAGGCACAGGGCTGCCAGGCATTTCTGGCTTGGCAAACCATTACCTGCCCAGGATGATGAAATACTCATCATGGAATGGAATGAAATGGTTGAAGCAATGCATTTTACAGACCAAAATTTATTTCTCTCTTGGGTCTGGATCTTTCCCTCCGCACTGGTCACTGGGTTCTAAATGTCTTTCAGGACAAAGCTTGCACCTGCTTCTTCCATATGTCAGGGATCCATCATGATGCCCTGCATTCAGTGGATACTGAGTAGACACATTTTAACCTCTTGACTCAGGGTTTGGGGTACCTTTTCCTTTTTCATCCAAAGTTAGGTGCTCACTGTCTGCTGTGGGTCAAAGTTCCCATCCCAAGGTATAATGGGAGATAATGTAGTTCAAATTGGTAAGGAATGTAGGGTAAAAAAGATATGTCTTTGACCCAGAAGAGCTTACAAAGAATTTTTTTTCTCTGTTTATGAACCAAATATATCCTGTGGCTCACTGACCACCTATTACTTCTTACGTCCACAAAATACAGAAAACCAGAAGGCTTCTTGGCATGAATAGGCATCGCCTGGTGCGAGCCACCCAGAAGAAGACATTTGGGTTGTATTAAGTATAAATGCATTGTTTATTTGTGCCAGCACAGAGCTCATCAGAAAAACCATGTATATAGGAAGATGTAGGCAAGTGAGACCACCCAGCATTTCTTTGAGGACTTTTGGGGACTATCGAGACAATACTCCAAGAGCCATCAGCTTAGAGAATTTCCACTGTTTAGTTCCAATTCCTTCACAACTTGGAAGACTTTATTTAAATCAGTTGAAAGTCTGGTGAGCAGAGGCCTCGTTATATATGTTCTGGATGTGGGGTAGCCCAAAGGATAGCTTCTAAGCTTCCCTGTGTTACTTTGAAGAAGCCATTTGCTTCTGAGGGAAGTGGATGCAAAGTCCTAAAAGAATTTTTAAGATATGTAAAACCAGTTCTGTCTCTTTATGAAGATTAATGACATTTTCAAGAAAATGCAAGGGATTTGGCAACTCATGCATTCGAAGTTAATTCTCTCCTACTCCGTAACATCCATACCATTTGGGCAGAAAAAATACCCTAATTGCAGCTCAAGGAGTTCTGTTATAATTTTTTAAGTAAATGTGTAAATTATATTATGTGCTCAAGATAAATTGCCAAAAAAATGCACTGCTTAACGTAATTTCTCACTCAGCAAACACAATGTTTGTAATTATCCGTGGTGCATCCACCATCAGAGGAATATTTGTTTCTTTTTAGGCTATACAAAAGTCTGTATGATCACATAAGAACAAGATGCCTTGTTTTTACTTTTTTAGGTACAGTCATGACCCCCAACTACATAGACTCCAGTAGCCTCAGCGTGGCCCCATGGTGTGACTGCAGCAACAGTGGGAATGATATAGAAGAATGCTTGAAATTTTTGAACTTCTTCAAGGACAATACTTGTCTTAGTGAGTTTAAAAAAAAAAAAAAGGAAGCAAACACACAAACACGCTTTCCTCTCTGTGTTCAAGCTGTATCTTCATGTTTCTTGTGCCTGCCTCTTCTCGCTCTCTCTTTCTCTCTCTCTGTCGCTTTTTTCCTGCTCCTTGATGGTGAATCCAGCATCTCTTGGCCATACTGTGCAATGAAGCAGGGAACAGAGCGAGTGGGTGCTGCCAAGTATGTGAACCCAAAGGCCTAAGAGAGCAAGAGATTCAAACAACAGAGGGTACATTATGTCAGATAGAGCTCTTCTACCCACAGATCAAATTTTGATGTTGGCAACCAGCATGAAATCTGTTCCAAAGGTTCTTAAAACCTGGGCGCAATGTACGGTGTGAGAAGCTCAGACAAATTAGATGGGGGTAAGCCTACAAGGGCTCGCTGAGAAAAATTAGAACATTAACATCAATAGCCCCCTGGATGTTCGGGGTTGGCTCAGAGGAGAAGCCACAATTCTTGAGTGGGATAAGCTGGCAATGCAGCCAGGAACCTCAGGATGTCAGTTATCTTGAGAGGCAGAGATGAGCACTTGGGGGTGGGGGGGAGAGGGGAGGTTGTTCCTGCTTGGAAATAGTATCAGTTATTATTGCAGTTTGCTTGGGGCAATGTGGAAACATGTTTCCCAAAGGGAGAGGGATGGAGAGAAATGTACAGGTATGAACAATGGGCATTCGTCAGACCATGCTGGGTCTCCCTTCGATCCACGGAGATGCACACTGCTTGAGGTGGTGATCCAGTGGAGATGCTTGAGTACCTCGCTCTCATTTTGTGGCAGCCGACATTAATTTATTGGGTGCCCTCAACTCACTCTATAGGGAGTGCAATATATACATTATCTCATTTACTGTAATCTGCACAGAGTCCTAGATCTAGGTATGAGCATCTCCATTTCACAGTTGAGTAAACAGCTGTTATTCACATGGACCCTCCATGCCAGAGATGGATCTGAAGCCTGAGTTCCTTCTTCTGCAGCCCCTATCCCCTGAGGCTTTTGTGTCATGCCTGATATTAAAGGGCCCATTGGACGAGAATATATGGCTGAACACTGGGGACCAGGTGTGACTTCCTGGTGAGAGATGTTGGAGCCAGCTTCTAGGAATTAAGGTTCAGCCACCCCTCTGAGAGCCGTGACAACTCTCCATGATGCTCTGCTATACAATGATTGATGACCAGAGAATTAGCTAACAATTTACCATGCGTACATGGAAAAGCTTTTAAGTGTTACTTATTCTAAAACCTCTTTATAGCTTCCTTTGTTGAAAAGACAAATCTAAATGATTTGCTTATTAGGTACTTCAGTGATGTGGCTGTAACCAAATGTTTTAATCATCATAAAACCAACACAAGCTTCTGGACACCTAAGTGAAACTGAAAACCACAGAACTAGTGGGAAGTATGGAGACATTTGCTAAAACATTGTGAAGTGTACCTTAGATCTCTTGTTTGGTCTTGACTTAAAAAAAGAAAAGTATGTATATATCCTTCTTTTCCACATCCTGCACAGTCTTTTGGCAGAATGCAAGTTTTAATGAAGATAAAGCAATGACAGTGTAGGTCAGTGTGAGAAAAGATGATAGTCACACTGGCTGGAAAACCTCTCCCTCATGGAGAAACTAAAGGTGTCCCTGCTTAATAATATTTTGGTGAAGGGGAGACTGGTCTGGCCTCTTTTTGCTAATGACTTTTCAATAAAAATAAATACATTTGGTCTTCAACAGGGACCAAAGCCAGCCAGAATTTTTCATAGTCATTCCATTTATACTTCAATGAGAAGGGGCACAGTCCACCAAAGACACAGCGCCATCAATTCACTCTCTTGCAAAAGGCTCTAGAGTAGAAGGAATTGAAAATTTGTAGATTCCAAACCGAATGCAGTAACCCAATTCTGCCTTCGGATTAACCAGATCTCTCCCACATTCCTCTATCATGAACACAACTTTAACTGATTGTTTATTTCTAGTTATTGGGGGGAAACACAGTTATTTTTAAGCCAAAGTGCATGGCCAGGGTGAGGGGAGGAGAGAAGAATGAGCTGGAGACGGAGGTAAGGTAGGAGTGACTGTCACTCGGGTCTTTCTCCAGATGCCACCTTCGCCTCCCTGGACCGCTCTATCAGAATATTTCCCCCTTCCACTCTCACCCCTGCTTTATTTCCTCCAGTCATTTCTCAGCACTAAATGGATTCTATATTTCACTTAATACCCTCCCCAGCCGGGGCATGGGATCTCCGTGAGGGCAGGGGTTTTGTCTGTTGTTGCTGTCCTTGATGTTCACCGCTGCATGGCCTGCACAGAGCAGGACCGGGCACTTAGTCTGTGTTCCACTGACATTTCAGTAAATGAATGAGCAAGGCCACAGACTCCCCATGCGGCAAGGCAAGCACACGGGAAAGCTCAGGTAGTGACAATAAATGGCAGGGGTCTCCTGAATCTCCGTGTCTGAACAGGAAAGAGAAAGAAGCATTCTGCGGCTTGTGGTGGTGGTGGTCCAGGTCATTCAGGGAAACCTCTCTGCATCGCACCCACCCGTTAAGCCATGTAATGTGGCTGGGAGCATAAAAAGCATTTATATTAATTCGAAGCTGTTTCTTACAGCCTGAAAAATGTAAAGTTTGAGAAAACAAGCTTCCAGTTTGCTGAACTTAAAGGATAACAATTTTAGAACAAAATGTCACTTCTAAGAGGAAGATTAGGCTTAAATTATTCTGTTTTGTATATCGGAAAATGCCAGCTAAGAATCATATATTAACAATTTGCACATTCGGGTCTCAAATGGAGGAGTTTGATTTCTTATACAATGAATATGAAATAAAAAATTCCTAAAGCCAGGCCAAATCCCTGAGGACCTGATTAAAAACTGTTTTTAATTCATTTTGAGGAGGGGAACAACACACAACCAATTTACTCTTGCCATAAAAACAATCTAATCCCATGAAATTGTAATAAGCTTTTAAAGTTTTACATTTTAAACTTTTCATTTAAGTAGGGCTGCTCCTACCTAATTATGCAGATTTTGTTTGGAAGACTGGGAGCAGAAAGGGGAAAAATAATCTTACTTAAATTTGCACTATGTATTGATGAGATTGGAGTAGATTTATTTTCTTTTAAAGAAACTGGTTGCATCTGTACTTTGAGCAATGCCTGGCCCATAGTAGCTGCTCAGAGCATGTGCAGAGTGCTCTACGGTAGTGAGTCACATCTTTTGCTGTTTGATTTTACTGCCTGCCAAATTAGCATGGATGCCACCAAGGTCCCTCATAATTAGGTTTATGTTGCTTTAAAAAAAAAAAAAGCACCAACTAGTTTGCTTTTAGTATAGTATTTTAACAGAGTACAGGGATGTTCTTGGAAGATGGATCAATGATCGTGATCCCCCCCAAAAAAGGTTCAAGGCTGGGTTTCGAAGCACTTGACTGATGAGTATTTCAGGGCAGGGATCTTGCTCAGCCCCTGGTACGTAAATAGGAACACTATTTGTTGCGCTTTGAGCATACCTAAGTGTCCATCTCGGTGTTTAATGAATGAATTGATTTTTGAGCACCTGACCCGATGGCTGGCTCTCAGCATGTGTAGGGTGGAGGGATGGGTGGGTTTTGTTCAGGGAAGTCCAATACTGTAATCAGAATTTCTAGTGTGCCTTTCTGGCTTTATGTATCCTGCCTGTTACATTTGCTGCTTGACTTTGAAATTGGATTTCCTCCTGTTTTACTGCAGAAAATGCAATTCAAGCCTTCGGCAATGGTTCTGATGTGACCGTGTGGCAGCCAGCCCTCCCAGTTCAGACCACAGCTGCCACCACCACGGCCTTCCGGGCCAAGAACAAGCCCCTGGTGCCAGCAGGCTCTGAGAATGAAATCCCCACTCATGTTTTACCACCTTGTGCAAATTTGCAGGTAAGAGCGGGGGCCGAACTCCCCTCTGGAGCTCACTTGTAGAGGGGGAAGCCCGGACCAGTTTCCTGCAATGCATCTAAAGATAAGACGGCTAATGATGGAGGGCTGCTTGGGTTTGAATCTTGAAAGTGCATTTTAACCATGATAAATGGAGATTGTGAAGTGCCACAGAGCGGGAGAAAGACCAACTCTGGGACTGACTCCCATCTGCTGGGAGTGCGACTTTGGTTAGGGTCCCCAGAGCTGGCCTTGGTGTCTTCACCTGTGGAATGAGGGGGCTGGGCAGATGAATCTTTAAGCCTTCTGTTTGTGGAGTGGCAGAGCTGAACTGGCATTGATTTATTTATTATGCTTATTCTGTGTTCTCTACAAAGCAGCGCCTATTGAAAGAGAAGGTACTCTTAGGTCGGTCGCCACCACTGTCATTTAAACTTAACGTGGAGCGTGTAACTCTGTCTAAAGGTTAACCAGAGACACTGTCACTAGTGAGGTGTTAACTCCAGTGAGGAGTCTGTATGGCTTCGTTCTTCCAGAAGCAGAAGAAAATGCTTTTCTGAAGTAGGAGGAACTATGTGGAGCCACCCTGCCCAGAGCCCCTCATGGGACTAGAGGCCGGTGAGAATGGCCAGGAGACTTCCCTGGGGTTAATCCAGATCTCCAAGGGCAGAACCACAATGGCATGCGAACAAAAGTTTCCTGCCTTTAGTCACAGCAGAGTGTTTATTCTGCCTTTTTATTGATTTTTTTTTTTTCATAGTAACGGGTATTCAGCTACTTACTTAGCAAGAGATTACCTATTTGTACGTCTGCAAAATATTTTCGCACACCTTACCTCTCTGGCTGTTATCCTCTTGACGGCTGTGGGAGAGTAACAGTATTATCGTTAGCCTTGTTCTTGCACTTGAGGACACCGGGGCTTGGTGAAGTAACACTTCTGCTGGAGCTTGTGAGTCACAGAACTGGTGCTGGGAATCCAGGAGACTCCGGTGCTCTCGTGGTTCTTCCTGCATTTTGGGGGTAGTTGTGACCGCGTGAGGATTTCTGCTGCCTGCCATGCTGGGGAAAGGCACATGCACCAGGCACGTGCTGTCATTTCACACCCGTCACTGGAGTATATTTTCCCTTCTCTCCCCACTCTGCTGCCACCGAGGATCAGGCTCACCAGAATGTTCACCAGAAACCTTCTTTTGCCAATACCGTCTTAACTCACCATCCTCTTCGTTCCCTACAGACCACTGGGGCAGTTCCTCTGCTTCTGGTTTGCTTGCTGTCTTCTCTCCCCCAGTGTCTCCCTTCTTCTCGGATATCCTGCATGCCACTCAGCTGACTGTTGGTCTCCTTCCCATCCTCCTATGTCACAAACCCTCAGACGCACTCACACCCACTCATACGCACAGCGCTGAGGAGCAGTCAGGGAGGGGAGCCGCACAGCCTAAGGTCAACCAGATTCTCTTCATGCTTCTGAAGCATTTCCTGAGCATGTCCAATGTCCAAATCACTGTGCAGAAACCACCAGAAGTAGGAGGAGGCTTGGGGACTATTACAGCCTCTAACTGCTCCATCTTGCAGCAGAGCCCTCAGGCTCAGGGAGGGGAGGTGACTTGCACAAAGCCCCCCAGCCGGGGAGAGGCGAGCTTGGAGCCAGACATCGCACCACAGACACAGGATCTGTTCTTTGTCTCTGGCGGGTGCTCGGCATCCTGCTTCCTCCTCGGCCACCCTTCCGTTCTTCTTGGGTCCACTCAGGTTCTAGCACCAGTGAGACAAGTGGCCAGATAAGGTATTGGACCGTGGTGTCCTTCGGTGATAAGAGTGGGCCAGAGATGGTTCCTGACTGGTACAAGAGGCAAGGTCTGACCGTGACAAAACCACGTCTTTCTCTGCACGTGTCTGAGCGCACAGAGCATGGCTGCGGAGGGAGCGTTTAGCCTGTTTATTGAGCCCCTTCTTTGTTTTGGAAACTTCATGGAGATGGGCCCTCAAAAAAAAAAAATTCTCTCCTCAGTGAACTTACAAATAATGGGCAAAGGCACAGCTTGTCAACATTTTGGGAAGTCAGACCAAATTACTAGATGGCGTTTCAGAAGAATAGCCATTATTGGAAATCCCGTGAAATTAGTTTCCTCTAAGAGGAAACTGAGAGAGGACTGTGTCAGCCATAAGGAGGCATTCTCCCCACCTCCCTGTGCCCTGCTCCCCCATCCCCCACCCTACCCCCCCAGATCACAGCGCCTGACTTCTGCTTCCTGTGGTGCACGCATGTCTTGGCCACACAATATTGTGCCTCCGACACAGATCCGCCCAGCCACCCCCCCCCGCCCCCCGCAAGGAGGACTCTGTGCTGCTGCAAGGTTGCCCTGGCAACGTTGGGGGACACATGAGCTCTGTTCCCAAGAAACGGCGCCTCGCCTTCCCCTGTATTAGTGATAGGAAGTCTGCCTCATAAATAGAGGGGCAAAGTAAAAGCATGGTGTTTATGTCGAGGCTGCTCTTTAACTTCTCGGCGGAAGGGGAAATAGAAGTGTGGGACGAGCAGGGCATGAGGGCGCAGCCATACTTGTCTTCTCTGGGACACACACACACAGGACACACATGTCTTGGAGCTGAACAGCATTTCACTTCTGGGGAGTCCTTCAGGGTTCTACCAAACCTCACCTTTCCTCCTAAGGGGATGGTCTGCTTGAGCCCATTTTTGCACACGTGAGGCGGGGAGTGAGGGCGTGGGCTCTGCAGCCAAGCCTGTGTTCAGACCCAGGCTCTTATCCTCATCAGCCCCGTGGCTTCTCCAGGCCTCAGCTTCCACAAAATTCGAGGATGGCTGAGCTGCCAGAGTTGAGGGGATTAAACGGGCGTAATGCTTCAGGGCCTGGGACGGAGTGAACATTCCAGAATGGTACTTTAAAAATGTCACATGTGATGTCTGATGCCCGGTCAGTTGGCCGCCGGGTCCCTTTACAGCAGATGGACTGTGGTGTTGTGCCTTGCTTACGGCATCCTTCCCTTTTACACCTAAGGCAACAGAGGCAGGCAAAGGCTAGTGACTTAACCAGAATCACACGGCAATTCTTTGGAGGGCCTGGGATTTCTGTCCCAAGACCAGTATACTTCTCTGCCTTGTTCCATGACCTTGAACAGCCAACCTGGGCTCTTTCTTTGCATTAGAGATGGACAGAAAGGAGGAAGTAAAAAACAGAAGAGAAGAGAGGATAGAAAAGGCGGCAGGGAAAAGCTGGTTTTGAGAGAGCCATATGTCCTAGTGCCTCCCGAAAGCAGCTATTCAAGTAATAGGGAAAACACAAAGCTCATGCAATTCCAGGAGACAGGGAATAGGGAAAGACTGGAAGTTTGCCAGTGAAACTTTTTTTCGCAGCTTGGTAATGTCTTTAGAATGACCTATACTAACAACAGTGGAAAGAATCATTGGAGGCCAGAGGATGGGGGGTGAATGAGTGATAAGAGATGGGCCTTCACCCCGAGAACGTGGTCCCTGGCACTGATTTAGCACTTTCACTTTGGAGGAGGGCTCCCAGGAGACTCATTCTCCCCATCTGTCCTTCTTTTGCCTGCCTGGCTGTCTCCAGATAAATTATCATTTGCCAGGGGGTCCTAGAAATATCTTAGAATGGCGTTTGTCCCAGCCGTGTGTGTCATTACTCAGAATAGAATTGACTGAAACCAGCTTGGGATCCATTGGTAACAGATTTGGAGAAAGTCAACTATCTTTGGCAGCTATAAAGGTCACTTCCCTTGAGAGACACCCTCTTGTAATATTTTAAAATATACAATAATACGAGAAAACTCTTGGGGACTTGGGTTCCTGTCTTAACATTTGAGATAGATTTCCCCTTTGGAAGGGAAGAAATAAGAATAAACATTTTCAAAAGTCGGCTTCAAAGTGTAATAATCAACAAACCAAATGCAATTCTTCTGGGGAAATGGGTGGCCTTGGGTGTGGGGCATATAGGACTCGTCTGCAGTTCCTAGGAAAGGCTTGTCTTTAAAAAAGGAAAGTTGATTGATTAGTATAAAATGTCATAGAAATGTCCAAGTGCTTACCCCCTGAGGTGATAAAATAGCAGGTTTTGGGTAACCCGCCAAGCTCCCATGTCAGGATTAATTGGCAGTCATATTAGTAGCAAGCATGACGCAGACTGCACTATTGTTGGTATATCCCTTTGACTTGTACAAAGTGGTCACATGAAAAACAAAGGAAGATTAAAAACTCTACCAATTATTTCATCTTCTGTGCACTTGAGTGGTCTGCTAGCTGAAAAAAGCTCAGGATATTTAAACCAAATGGACTGTACTTGTCGCTTATTTAAAGTAAATATCTTTGGGAGATGTAAGTAGGTGTTGGAAAAATCCCTACTTTGCCTCACTGTACACCACTTAATTCTGGAAGCTTAAAGTAAAGACCCCTTAAAGTGGCATTTGTAGGTCTTGGATTCCATGGTCTAACAGGTGCTAGAGCCTGGGGAAGACAGCCCAGGGGCTGCGGCTGAGGACTCTGGGGAAAACTGCTGTCTCTGCCCCTTTCCACTCTCTTTCCCCTCAAAAGAGCTGTGATTGACAAGAGAAAGTCTGGTAGCCTGAGGGACACACACACTCCGATCCACGGCTAAAAGGTGGGTATGGGATAGCTGTGAGCAGTTGGAGAGCTCTAGGGAACAGGGAGAGCCACAACCAAAGTCAGTTTTTCTTAGGAGCCAAAGAAAACATCTCTGTGGAGAGACATGGAGGGCCAGAGGTTGTAGACAGAGCTCAAGTAGGGCTCCTCCCCTCTCCCTAGTGGGACTTTTAAGACAGCATTCTAGAAAGAAACCAGCAGTGTGGTTTTCTCAGTCATGAAGAAATGTGAGCATCTCCAGTGGAGAGTCGTTGCGAGAATGCTTACTACTGAAATCCCCAGTGCAGAGCAGAGGGCTCCTGTTCTCTTCCCCACCAATAGCCCATCATCCACTTTGGTGGTCAGACCACGCTAGCCCTAAAGGTCCCACAAC